AAGCAGTGTGAAAACATCTGTGACACGATTACTTTGAAAATCATGCAGTCTGAACTCGGCATAAGTCTACTTAGCGTCGCCCCCTGTGGTTGCAAATACCAGTACAATGGTGAGTGCATCAAGTATAACAGCCTCCATAACTCGCAGCTGTACGTTACTGTAATGGTTGGGTTTAAGGTTAATGAAGGTGTAGACCAGGGGTGTCCAAACTTGGTCCTGAAGGGCCGGTGTCCGGGAGAGTTTAGCTCCAACCCTAATCAAACACACCTGAACCAGCTAATCAAGCTCTTACCTGATATACTATAAACTGGCAGGTGTATTGAAGCAAGTTGGAGCTAAACTGTCCAGGACGCCAGCCCTGTTTGGAGAGCCCTGTTGTAGGCGTTAATAACTATGATGGTTGGGTTTAGGGTTAGGGATGGTGTAGACCAGGGGTCACCAATCCTGGTCCTGGAGGGCCGGTGTCCCTGCAGGGTTTAGCTCCATCTTGCCTCAACACACCTGCTTGGATGTTTCAAGTATACCTAGTAAGACCTTGATTAGCTTGTTCAGGTGTGTTTGATTAGGGTTGGAGCTAAAATCTGCAGGGCACTGGCCCTCCAGGAACAAGTTTGGTGACCACTGGTGTAGACCAAGCATGCCCAAACTCGGTCCTGGAGGGCCGGTGTACTGCACAATTTAGTTCCAACCCCAATCAGACACACCTGGGCTAGCTAATCAAGCTCTTACTAGGCTTTCTAGAAACATCTCTGCAGGTGTGTTGAGGCAAGTTGGAGCTAAAATCTCCAGGACACCAACCCTCCAGGACCGAGTTTGGACACCCCTGGTGTAGATGTTAATAACTATGATAGTTGGGTTTAGGGTTGAGGATCATGTAGACCAGGGGTGTCAAACGTACAGTCCGGGGGCCGGATCAGGCCCGCAAACAGGCTTAATCCAGCCCGTGAGATGATTCTGTAGAGTATAAAAATGAGCTGCAATTTTTCAATAAATGAAGCTCCTGTTCCAGTTGTGTCCACTTGATGGCGCAACAGAAACAGTTAATTTCATCCGATAAAGCAGGCATTTTCAAACGGTGAGTTGCTGCCTACTAGTACTAGCCTACTAGCCTCAGCGATCCTGCAGGTGGGCTGCTAGATAGCTTAAAATGAACTCTCAATATACTCTAAATATTGGGATTTTATTATTAATATGGTATATTAAAATGATCAAAGTAATGCACTTGCTCCAGTTCTGTGATGGATTGCTTCAAACGCATCTGCAACCAGTAGGCAACAGGTAATGTAAGTTTATTCATTCACTAACTATGCGTGAAGTGAAAGTCTATAAATAAATAAATAAATATATGGTTGGGTTTAGGGTTGTGGATGGTGTAGACGTTAATAACTATGATGGTTGGGTTTAGGGGGGCACGTGCCCCAGTAAAAATCGCCAGTGCCCCAGTAAATGCTTTGTGTATTTATCAAGAGTGGTAATCCCAGATTAAAGACGATATTCTTTATGTGCAACCGAATCAACGCTGATGAAAGCAATGTAGTTTACTCATGAACAAAACTGAGCATGTGCACAGAAAAAACATAGCACCGCTGCTGCTTGAGACTGCTCTGCTCCCGTTGTAAGTCCCGGTTGTGAACATGCACGCCGAAAAATAGCAGGGCTGCTCACGCACCGCTTATGCGTTGTGAAACTGCCATAACAGGCTTTTATGCAGAGGTGTCGGCACGCAGTGAGATTTGCAAGCCGACAAAACTAAAGTTTAAACAATATGAGGGTGACCTTATTTAGACTAAGCATGTCTCCTGATAGATTATTTGTTTGAAGCAAAAAGAGAGATGATCAGGGAGTCAAGGAGCTATGTCTAAATAAACCTAATTCTCTGCCATGAGTCGCATCTAAGACAACAAACAGATAATTCATTAAAACATCCTTTTTTGTATTCTTTAGAACTGTCTAGAAAATTTTATTCAAATGAAATTAATATTCATGCAAAAGATTTCTTAAAGTATCTTAGCATCAGTCCCGTTGTGTTTTTTAGATTGGTTTCCAGTTAAATTTAGGATTAATTTCTGTTATTTATTTAGTGTAATAATTGTACATTAACAATAATACAGTTATGAAGTTAGGATTCGAAAGACCCACCCCCCTTCTGACAAAGTCCAGAATTTGGCCCATATATGAGCTCATTTGTCCCATTTTTGACAGTATGCCATCATAAATTGTGACAATAACCAATAGATTTAGTAAAATTAATAAATTTGGTGGTTGGGTTGAGGTGTAGACGGTAATAAGAGTGATGGTTGGGTTTAGGTGTAGCCGTTAATTACATTAACTGATGTACAGCGCCATCTTTCCAACAAAATAGTTTTGATGTGGGTCTCCAGCTTCAAGTTACGCCTCTAACCTACTATAAGTTTCGCCCATAAGGCCTTGTGATGTTATGCCACTGTCTTGCAGTCCGGAGACAGGCCCTACTCAGGCCCCCAGTGGCGGATCATCAAACAGGTTTAATTTTTTTATCTGATCTTGGAACAGTTTGACTAGTTTTTAGACACTTCAGTAGGACATTTGTCAATTAAAAAAGGAATAATATTAGTAAATAGTCCTTTTTTTGGCGCTGAGCAAAGTCCACTATGAAACAAACAATATATATACCTTAAAAATTGTAAAAAGAACACACATTTTGCAGACACATATTTAAAAATATTTTTTAAATATGTTTTTATTGCATTTACAATACTTTTACCAGCAGGTGTTCTTAATGTGCTGTTCTGAATGCTTCGAAACATTGAATCATTTTGCAAAGCAATTGGTTCAATCACTAATTTGTTTACTTCAGGAGTGCCCAAACTCTTTCCTAGAGGGCTGGTGTTCAGCAGATTTTAGCTCCAAATTCCTTCAACACACCTGCACCAATGTTTCTGCAAAATCTAGTAAAAGCTTGATTAGGTAGCCCTGGTGTATGTGATTAGGGTTGGAACTAAACTTTGCAGGACACCGGCCTTCCAGGACCAAGTTTGGGCACCCCTGATTTACTTAATTTGACTGGTATACAGACACAGACATCCATTGAATGTATTTTGCTACAATGTTCATTAGCTCTCCTGGCCTACAGGGGTCAGTCTGTGAACAATCTCTCATCATGAGTTATAACACATAACAAACACTTTGCATTCTGTCATGCTAGAGTGCTAAATGCTAAGACTTCTTTTTAGTTAGTGAAATATGTTACATGAAGCGTTGATGTTTTTACCTGTCATCTTGTGCTTTGTGTCACATGACTTAAACCAGTCTATGGCTTTGTAAGATTTAGTTACTCCCAAACATTCCCCATTACATTCAACTTCATTGACAAGCTCTCTATGGGGAAAATGTCCTACTCAGATTCCTCCTCAGCATGACAACAGATGGAGACAGATGTTGATTTTCCACACTCAAAACGCTTATTCAACTCTTGTTCACCCTGTGCTTTGACTAAGACGCCAAGCGATGATAATGTAATCTAAACTTCATCAGTTTGCTAATGGAACATCCATGTCAGCTGATAATTTCTCTCCAAAGTGCCATTAGCTTCATTAGCGTCTGGCTTCCTCTCTTACTCGGAAGTATGCAATTACGCCCACTGTTGTGCTGCGGTCCATATTACACCGCTGGTTAATTGGAGCTGAATTCAGCGTGCGCATTACCTTAACTGTTGTTCTTACTTCATTAGTCTCTTCATAACATCATGTTTATTGTTGATATGCATCAGGACTGTTAGTTACGAATATAATTCTAAATGTTAAAATATTTCAAGTCATCATTTAAAGTCGTCATGAAACAGAAGTTAAGATTGTCCTTTTTTTTCCCTCTATCATGACATCCACTTGAAGCGGTCTTTAAATGAGAAAAAAGTGCTGCATAATTTCGTTCTTTGGGAACCAATGGAATCACTGGAAGATGGGTGTTGCGAACAAAATGTCAGAAGATTGACAAATGGATAAAGGCAGAGCAGAAAGCCACACCCACTGGTAGCCCCTCCCTTGAGGCATTCTATGTGACCAGAAGTGAAGTCGTTTCGAGGGAGGAGAGAAGGTTATTGATATTTCTAGGGCAACTTAATCTTTACCAAATAATGATGTGTACAAATATAATTTATAACAAGCACTACCATGACAAAGGCTACCTGACAAAAGTCTCAATAATGTTCATGTCTGGTGACTGGGCTGGCCAATCCCGAAGCACCTTGACCTTCTTTGGTAAGTATGAGCGCTATTCTGCTGAAGATTTTGCCCTCTTTTGTGGTTTGTAATATAATGGGCAGCACAAGTGTCTTGATGCCTCTGGCTGTCAATGTTGCCACCCACTCTGCACGCCCCCATACTGAATGTAACCCCAAACCATGATTTTTTTCTTCACCAAACTTGGGTCTATGTGGGTTCCAATAGGTCTGCAGTATTTGTGATGATTGGGATGCAGTTCAACAGATGATTCAGCGGAAAACATAACTTCTGCCACTTTTCTAAATAATCAACTAGAAGTCAAGCTAGTATTTGTTGCTCTTACAACTGGGATTGACAACAAGGCTTTTGTCAGGTAGTGTACGTATAAAAATAAGAAGGGTACATTTTGATTTCATTCTGACTTGAATATTCTGACCAGTCATGCAAAACAGCAGTTCAACCAATGGCGCACATTGAAGTTGTTTGGTCAATCAATAGCAGATGGAAGCCTAATTTCAAACTATTAATATTTTGTTAGTTCTGTATAGCAATGAATAATTAGACTCTTCACAATAATAGATTGATTATGGAAAGTGTGTTGACATGTGTCGGAAAATCTAAGCAGCGATTGTCCCGTTTAGAAACCTGTCAGAAGTTGTGTTATTTTAAGGGTGTATCCTGTGACAATAGTTCCATGGGTATTTACTATTGTTGCAACTGTTGCTGGGTTATTGTGATGAACAATAACTCTCCTAATACAGATAAGTCTGTGTATAACTGTTTCTCTCTGTCTCTCTCCAGGCTTTCCCTTTAAGCTCTCTCAGTAAAAAGCAGCCCACCCTGCTGGTTGTTTGTGGTCCCGAGCAGAACGGCTCCATCGGTTTGGTGTGTGCGCGCCATCTGCGCATGTTTGTAAGTATAGAGTGGTATGCCAAAGAACACAGAGACAGAATAGATAACGAAGGGGTGCTTGCATGTTTTTTAAAGTTAACATGAAATCATAATCGACCGTATGTTTTCTTAATTCAGTTTAATTGTCTAATTGTGTAGTTTTGATTTAAAAAACAAAAATTGTTCTTCCTCTAAAATTAATTTTCATTCGGTTGACATCTTCAGGTCTTTTCACAAGTTTTCTTCAAGTTTACTTTTCACATAGAAACATAGTTTCCACCTTATTGACCTTAATCTTTATGTACGAGCGTCATTGGAATCTTTTTGGTTCGAGACTTCCAGTCTCATTCACTTCCATTCATTTTTAGACATAAAAAACGTTATTATGATGCCTGATGTTCAAACTGAGATGTTCTTATTACATTTGTCTAATTTTTTTGTATAGTCATGAACACACTTGCAGTTTTCTGCCAATTGTTATTCATTGTCATTTCCCCCATAGGCAACTGAATCAGAAGTTCCAAAACAATCGCAAAATCGGGCGCACTTCCGCATCGCAGAATAAAGTCAATACAAACTAGGTTGTTGTTGGAAGTAGTGTTAGTGAGGCCAGCAGGGGGCGCTCAACCTCTGCAATAACACTTCCGAAACGCTAGCTGGCAGTGAGGTTTTTATGTTCCTCTGTGTCGAGTTTCTTAGCTGGTGTTTTGCTTTTTTCTGAACTATCTTAATGTACAAGTGGCTCAAACTCGCTCATTTCGAGGCAGGAACTGGGGGATGTGCAACTACTTTAATCATAACGTAAACATAAAGCAACAGTTTTCATCTGGAACTCCTTCACGGGACTTGACACCTGTAAACACTCGCACTTGTCAGCGCTACCAAACTGACCAATCACAGAGCTAGTTATATTTTTTTGAGAGGTGCGCATCAGCGTTGGCGATAGCCACAGCGAGGCATTCGTGACCACACGAAGGCTGCGCCAGAGCATACATGTGCACTTGACGCAGAAGTATAAATCAGCCTTGAGTCCTAATGCCCCAGTATAGTGAAGGGGACACCATACTGTCAGTGGGCGTCGTCTTTCGAACGAGACGTTAAACCGAGGCTCTTTGTGGTCATTAAAAATCACATTGCACTTCTGGTAAAGAGTAAGGGTGACCTCAGTGTCCTGGCAAAATTACCTCCATCGGACCTTACATATCATGGCCTCCGAATCATCCCCATCTGCTGAATTGGCTTTATCACTCTCCCACTCCCTCTTTAACTTGTGTGTGGTGAGCACACTGTCGCTGTTGTCCTGTGGCTGCCGTCACATCATCCAAGTGGATGCTGCACACTGGTGGTGTGGAGAGACCCTCCCTCATGATTGTGAAGCACTTTGGGTATATGGCCATACATGTTAAATGCGCTATATAAATACACATATTGCATTACATAACTTGAAACTAGTGCTCTTCCTTAAAAAACTAGCCTAGAGCGCCATCTGCAGTTAAAAACTAAGCTCAGAATTGATCCAAGAGAGAAAAGTGATGCATTTTAAAAAGTCGATATTTTCAAACAATATTTCACCACAGCTCTACTTTTCTGTTAATAATTGTTCTTCTGAAACATTTTTTTTTTCATGAAATCATCAATCCCTTTTAGTTTTCAGCCCCTTCTTAAGCCTATCAAACAGGAAGTACTTTTCGAAATCCAAAGTCCCATGGATAAAACCATATGCCTCAATTTAACTACTCTGAAATGCTAGATTTATGAAGCATCAGTATCCATCTAATAAACGTATACTCTGTTAAAGTTATTCTTCTTTTTGTTCTGATGGAGTGAAGTTAGGATTTGGCCAGTCAGGATTTGGCCAGTTTACATGAAGAGATTCTTGGAACGAAAAAAAAAAAAAAAAACTCGAGAGAAAAACTAAAACGAACAATAGAGGGTCATCACATGATGGCAGCTGTTTTATACATCTGCCATGGATTCTTGTGTCTGTACCAACGTTATGTAACAAAAACATTAAGTTTAACTGCAGGTTTGTAATGAACTTAGCCGGGAACTCATTAAGAATATATATTTTGCATTCAGACCAAATGATGTGCTGGAAAACCATACATTTTTAGTTCACATTGATCACTACTACTGTTCTTCTGAAATTAAATTATGAGGTAATTATGTTAATGTGTTAATGGATTCATGAACTCAAAAATGTCCTTACATATTCACCGGGGGACTAAATACTTCATAGAGGCTAAGCATGAACTGTTTGGTTCATGTATGGTGTCCATAATTTTCGAACAGCTGATAAAAATATACACACAATAAAATATATTAAGGGCGGTACGGTGGCTCAGTGGTTAGCACTGTCGCCTCACAGCAAGATGGTCACTGGTTTGAGTCCTGGCTGGCTTAGTTGGCATTTCTGTGTAAAGTTTGTATGTTCTTCCTGTGTTTGCGTGGGTTTCGTTCGGGTGCTCCAGTTTCCCCCACAGTCCAAAGACTTGCTGAAGGTGAATTGAAAAACCTGATTGACCGTAGTGTATGTGTGTGTAAATGAGTATGTATGGGTGTTTCCCAGTACTGGGTTGTGGCTGGAAGGGCATCAGCTGCGTAAAACATATCCCAGATTAGTTGGTGGTTCATTCCGCTGTGGCGACCTCTGAAATCAAGACTAAGTCGTAGGAAAATTTATGAAAATATGGACATGGCCAAAAAATGCTGTTTGTTCCTAATAGAAAGCCCTTTCTTCCTCATTTAGGAATACGAGCCCACCATTTTCTATCCCAAGCGCTCTACCCTGGGTTTGCACCAAGACTTCACTGTTCAATGTGAAAAAATGGACATCCCTTTCCTATCCTATCTTCCCACAGAGGTAGGTGTCAGTCTTGAATAATGAAGCTCAGCCCACTGGCAGAAAGATGTCAATGTGATGTTCACTCTACTGGACACGTGTCAATCCTCATTGAGTCCCGTCTGACCCTGACAACCAGGTCCAGCTGTTAAATGATGCCTACAATCTGGTGATCGACGCCATCCTGGGACCCGAAACTGACCACAAGGATGTGAAGGAGCCTTATGCTGGGATGCTGGTGACTCTTAAGCAGGTCAAAATACCCATCGTTAGTGTGGACGTGCCCTCAGGTAACTGCTCATTAAAGACACTTCCTGACGTTTCAGAGACTTTCTGCCCACGGCATCTTTAGTGTGTGGTGCAGCAGTGAAAAAGTGATGTTACATTCTGTAAATAGAGTAGTCACTTGCAGAGAAAGAAGAAAAAAAGTTTTACAGAGATGGTCTCTGTTTAGTTTTGTCAGATTTCTAGACTTACAGGCGTAGACTGAACTGCTAGCAGAGTAGCTAAATGTGTATAGTAATGTAGGCTACAAATGTTAGCATCCTGCAGCATTTATTTACAAGAGTACTTAACTATTTCACCACTTACATGTAGTTTGATCTCAGTAATGCCATAAAAATCAGCTGGCATATATGTGTTAGTATTCAAAACAATCATAATATTGTTGAGAGAGGATTGCTAACACTTTCAGGGCTAATTAGCCACTCACTAATAACTGCTTGAAGTTGAGAACTAGTCCTAAAAATCATGCAAAATAGTCTGTCTATCTATCTATCTATCTATCTATCTATCTATCTATCTATCTATCTATCTATCTATCTATCTATCTATCTATCTATCCATGCTAATAATTAACACCCAATACATTATTAACACCCATAATAGCTATTAGCTTCTCTTGCTAAAAGCCACAAGATCATTTTTCAAAGATCAAGTCAAACTTAAACCCATTTGTATGCATGCAAAATAGTAATTATTCTAATTCTAGGAAATAGATTAGTAACATCTGATGCTAATAGTTATTTGTTAATCTGTTTGTTAGCTAATAGCTACTACCTATAAATTGTTGTGAAAGTCAAACTAAAGACTAAATAAATGTTAAATGTGTGCATTTTTGAATGAATACAAATAGTCATTCTATTAGGAAATGGATTATTAAAGTCTGATGCTAATAGCTATTAACAAATCTAGCTAATAGATTAGCCACCAGCTGTGAATTGCTGTAAAAGTCAAAGACTAAACATTAAAATAGTCATTCCAATACTAGGAAATTCATAATTAACATCTGATCCTAACTGTTATTAGCTAATCTCGCTAATAGCCACTATTATAGGTGCATCCCAAATCACATACATATGCACTACTCTACGCCATTTTGTAGTATAAATAGTGTAAGTAGTGTGTTCACACTGAAAACTCTAAAAAGATTAAGTGCACTTTAATTACCTGGATAGTGCACTTATTCAACAGTTAAAATGAAGTGTGGAATGTTGGACACTTCACGCCCTCAAGAGCCGCTGCTTTGCTCACATAGGGTAAGGGGCGGAGCTTTCAAACACTGATGATTGGATCGCTTTATTAATTTTGGATTGTGAAAGCAGTATTCTCCTACGAGAGTGATTATACCGCCTCCTGATGGTGAATGCAATTATACTCATGGCAGGTATTATTTGGTAGTTTGGTCGTTTATTTCACTAATTTAGCAACCTTCAAACGTCATCTGTGAAAGAGCTTGAATTTCCGCTTAGTAAATCAACCCTTAGTGTTCCATTTGGGATGACACTACATACATACACTATGCTGTTGAGTGTGTGAGACGCAGCTCATGTATTGCTGTCCAAGTCAAACTGAATATAAGTGTTGATATATATTGTGACGAGACAAGATGTCTTGCATATATATATGCAAAGTAGTCCTTGTTATCAAGGGGAAAAAAAGCATTACGTTTTGTAAAGCTACTAGACATTTAACTTTTGAAGACTGTAGAAGTCAAACCAAATAATAAAGAACTTGTTGACACATTTTGTGAAATGCGAAAGTCTGTGAAATGAGTCACTAACACCTCTAAGGAGAACTGAGTGATGAAAACTGAGTTTTTTCACATTTTTTGATAAATGAGCTGACCAGAGACCTTTGTGCGCAAATGTGTTGCACTGGACCCAAAGTGTTCACAAAACAGACAAATAATCAAACTGAAGGAACCTCACAGCTATTATGTCATCGGGAGACCTTATTTGAAAATTGCAGCTGATGGCTGACACATTGCATTTTAGCTGCTCACTTTCCACATGACAATAGGTTGATGAATGATCTCGATGAGCCAGTTTTCCACCTCTTATCTAGGAGAAAGTAATGACCAGCGATGGTAAAAAAAGATTCACTTTTTCTATCTCTCTCTCCTGAAGGTTGGGATGCTGATGAACCCGCCAAAGATGGGATAAATCCAGAAGTTCTCATTTCTCTGACAGCTCCCAAAAAGTGTGCAACGGGCTTCTCGGGAAAGCATTTTCTGGCGGGGCGATTCCTGCCCTATGACATTCAGAAAAAATATGAACTCAATCTGCCAGAATTTCCCGGCACAGAATGTATTATAGAACTGTAGCCGTTTCTACAAGCCTGTATTTTGATTAACAAGATGTTTTTTCCCCTTTTGTATTTTCTAGATGGTTCTGTGGCATTCAGTAACTGACAAATATGACTAGATATTTTGGTGAGTTTCAGAGGTGGAGTTTGAACTATTTATTGACTTTTGCAAACTTTCAACATTTGCTGACTTCTCTAAATCGCCAAAATAGAATTTTGTTCAACACACAAGTCTTCTTAATGTTGGATATTTTCAAAGTGCATTATCCTAATAGTGCCTCCAGTCCAATGTGCACAAATCCTCCAAATCCAATGCATCTCTGCTGGAATTTGACTCCAACGCGAGTTTATTCACCTGTCCTTTTTTTTTTGGGAAAAGTTGTATAGCATCCAAGATTATGTGTACATCGTTTTGTTTTATTATACATGCTCAATGTACATGTGTTTTCTTAGTTCTTATAGGTTGAATGAATAAATTATCTATGTAAAAACTCTGTTTAATCATTCAGACCTCATATTCAGGTGTTTAAAGAAACCTGCGGATGTTATTATTTAGTCAAACCTTGGAAAATGTGCTCTATTAGCCAGTATTTGGGAACAAGAGGTCGTTACGATATTCCTTAGACCATACAGTATATTATTTCTTCCCAGAGATTTATTCAAAAGTCAGGAAAGGCGTGGGTGATTTAAAGGAATGTTTCTGTCTAAAGCAAGAGTATGTGGACAGGAATATCGTAATGATTCATCACTAATGCATTATAGGCTGCTTCGGGACATTGTGTAAACTCGGATATAGTCATCAAAAGGTGGACGCGAAATCATCCGGAGATCATATTTCTTGGTCTGCCAATAAACATTTTACATTTCTGTGCACTCCATCGAAAGCCAAAAAGTAGGTTTATTGTCTTTAAACACACACACAGAGCTTCACAAAGGTAGCAGGCAAATGCCATATGCACTCAATATGGTGACAAAGGAAAATATGAAAATCTGTTTAGACTGCCAAGGAGTTGGGGTAAATATTTTGGTCTGTGCTTTTCTTTGCAAATCTGGCTGTTTATTCTGTTTTGATAAACAATTTCACTGTAATCTACGATCTTTCTTTCCCTACAAAATTCTCTGTTCGTTGACGCTTCAACAAAAGCTTTGAACAAAAATGTTGGATTGGCAAGTGAACGCATCTCCCCGTCATGGAAGTGTTGCTAATGCATGATCCTAGACAGTGGAACAGCGCTGTACATGTAGCATGCATGGGAATATTTACAGTACAAATGGTTTAAACCCAATTGCCATAACTCATGAACCATGGGTTAGATTTTAAAAGTTTGGACTTTTAGTCTGGAGCTCTGGCTGAAGTATAACGTAAAAAAAATTCAAATAAAAAGAAATTAAATGAAGGATTTCATGCTAATATGTCTCTATTTCTAGATTTAGATTATGTTTACTGTCAGCTAGCATGCTCTTAATGGTATTTTTTAATGTATGGACTTTTCCCTTTAATGATTACAGTGACCAAAATGGATTGTTTTATCAATATTACCATGGCATTGTAAAATTACCTAAAGATGCATGGCAAGAATATGTCACACACTCATTCCACTAAATTTGCTATCTAACAACAAACAAACAGCAGCAACAATTAGCAGCTTTATGCAATTTTATGACAAGCAATGTAAACATAAATCCCTGCATTTTGGATTTGTTTACTCACAATATATCTTGTTGTTTACTATATGTCCATGTGCATTGTTTGTTATGTGTTTTATGGGTAAATCAAGGATTTGTTTACATCCATGAAAACTGTATACTCAAAAATGCTGTATTACATACGACAGGCCAGTATTTGGCACTGTCACCTTATTAGTAAACATTATTACCTGTAGAGATGTGTCGCAAAATCATAAACAAAATACCCAAAATCATATATGGTGCCAAGATGAACGATAAATGTTGCGTGAAACTAGGAGAAACCTACAGGTGAATTGTGAGCAATGATGTTAATCGAAATATTTAAATCAGATGTAAATCAGATGTTAATCAACTCATGTAAACACCTTAATCATATTATTGTCTTATTCAGATTAAGGCAAATAATAAGATCACTAATGTCCACGTAAACATTGTCAGCACTATCACATACTCCGCCATTGTTGTTTGTTTGTTTGTTTGTGCTTGCCTTTAATCTACACTCCCCTAAACGTACAATGTACGCGCATGACATCGTTGTTTTCAATGACTTACATTTTCATTTGTTTGGATGGACACAACAATGATTAGCTATGTTTCCATCCAAAAATGTGAATTGACTTTTTGCACAAAACTGGAATATCGCTTAAAAGAGGTGCAAATAAAGAAGCGTTTCTATCCAATGAGAACAAAATTGAAAGAGAGCAAAATTGTCACTTCCTGCACTTTAATGCGCATACTGGAATTTGTTTGGTAAAAGTGTTTCCATCGTAGTTTATGCGCATCTTTTCTTATCGAATAAAAAGTTTATCCTAGTCAGTTACGCATACGTTTTTTATGCGCATTTTCAGAATTTATGCACATCTTGGCATTTCTATCAACCGATTTTTTAATCGTATAGCCAAAATGCACATAAAAAAGGTGAATGAAAACGTAGCTAATAATTGCATTTTCAAAAACTTTATGCAGTTTTAGTCCCAGAAAAACGATTTTGTAGTGTAAACGAAAAGACAAAACCCAAAAAACATTTCCATTTTTTGGCTGAAAACGTTGGCTGAAAAAGTTGATCATGATAAGTGCTCATTGTAATAATTATTATTTATGCTTTTTTGAGTGCCTTGGATTTACTTTTGCTTTAACTATTTTATGTTTTATTAGTGTGCCCATGAGTCGCTCATGGATTCGCTCATGGATTCAGTCGCACCCAAACCCCGCCCCTAAATAAGCAAATTGTACACTTTAAATAAATTCTGTGATTTTACAGTTATAAAATAACGGACGTTAAATTACAGAAATTTACAATAAAATAATGGATGTTAAATTATAAAACAGTTACCATAAAATAACGGAGGTAAAATTACATAAATTTACTATAAAGTAATGGATGTTAAATTACAGAAATTTACCATGAAATAACGGACGTTAAATTACATAAATTTACTGTAAAATAATGGATGTTAAGTTGCATAAATTTACTGTAAATAAACAGATGTTACATCAGAAATTTACTTTAAAATAATGGATGTTAAATTACATAAATTAACTATAAAATAATGGACGTTAAATTATAGAAATCTACCATAAAAAAAAAAAAAATAGAGAAATATTTGGTAAATTTAGCGGCGTTTTTTTACTTCCTTTTTCTGGCAACCCAGCTGCCGGAAAAATGTAAAATAACATAAATATTTTTCAATGTACTAAACTGTACAAATGAGATTGTACGAATTCATACAAATTAACCGGTAAATAAAAAGTTTCGAAATGCCATGAGATCGTGTTGGGTAGAAGATGACTTCAAAACTCCTTAAGTGTTTAGAAATTTGTTTGCCATTTAGACTATTTATTTTGGATGATCATTATATTTCATTTAAGGACAAAGTGTGTAATTACTGTGATTTTTATAGCAAAATTGGAAAAATAAAAGAACAACTTACATTTCTTGGCTAATAATTTCATTCCAAGTACCATATAAAATCATGAGCTTATTTGTAGTTTATTTTACGTTACAGAAAAAGAAGTACACACTTCACCTTTAAACAATGTGAAATAACGATTGCCATCAGTGTCCGTGACTGAAGTGTTTGGATGTTTATAACTGCCTTTGTACACAACAGGTGCGTCACATTACAGTCATTTTACTGTCTGTCCAGTCACTCAATGTTGAAAGAACATTCCTGAGATGCTGAAAGTTGCATGCTGGTAGAATATGACAAATCCATTGTGAAATAAACAGATTTTGGAAGGGAAAAATGAATGTTGTCATCACATTAACATCTTCATTTGTGATAGAAATAAACCTAACATTCCAAGTCTAGAACATCATAAAACACACAAAGTGCTTTATTGATTTGTGGTAATGCAGCATATCATAATTAAAACCACAAACATTACATTTTTCTGATGCAATAGTCACCTTTCTCCTACATCTGTCTGTTCTTTTTGCCTGCTGGAATGATATAAGGACACAGATGTTAGTGCACTGGCCAATGGCGAGCAGGAGGGGGCTGGTCTGGACCACTTTCCACTCCATCCCTGTCTTTTAAAACTCTGGGAACTTCACGAAACTTATCAGACTTGATTTTGAAGGAAGGGGGGAACAAATTCATTGGTCGAGTCACTCAAAAACTCGACAAAGCCATATCTGTTTTTACATTTGTTTTGTTACAAGCAGCTGCCCATCAGTGACAGTGGCACTATGTGGGACTTCACGGTGGTGACGTTGGTGCTGTCTACTGTCTTTGTTGTGTCTCTGGCACAAGGTAATGTCATTTAAATAACTCTCTTTATTCTTAATTAATTACGCAACAGTTTGGATACAGCTGTCAGCACTTAAGTCCTAAGAAACAGCAGAGTCTGTTTGTTTGCTTGCATGGCTGGAATTATCTTTAGTAAATCAAACTGTTTTCCTACTAATCTGCTTCTGTTTTGCGTCGCTGCATATTAATTGACACTTTGAAAGGATTTTGGCATATTATGTGACTTTAAATAAGAATAAGGTGATTATAATTTAGGCAAATACCATCTGTCCCATCTGTGTATTTATATAAGCAATTATATATTTAAAAGGATGGTTCACCCAACAAATGAAAATTCTGTCATTATTTACTCACCCTTTGCCTTTTGCTTTAACTTCCTAATTCATCAAAAGATATCTTGAAGAAAGCTGGAAACCTGTAACCACTGACTTCCATGCTATTTTTTTCCTACTATGGAAGTCAAGAGTTACAGAGTTTCAGTTTTTCTCAAAATATCTTCTTTTGTGTTTAAATAAAGAAAGAAATTTAAAAACAAAAGGTTTGGAACAACTTAAAGGTTAGAAAACAGTGAGAAAATTTACATTTTTGGGTGAATTACCCCTTTAAATATTCTAACATAAGAACAGAGCAGAAGTTTTAGACTACCTTATCATATTGTCATGTATGTAGGCAAGTCAAAGAGAAGTCTTTGCTTTTGGAAACGTCTGTGGAGGAATTTATTATTTGAATGGCTGACTTACAGTCGTGAAATACTGGAAAACTGCCAAACGAATTCGACTGAAATTTGGACGGCACCATTTTATCCACATCTATTACCTTCACTGTCACTCCATCCTCTCGTCTCCGGTCCACCTCAAACTCTCTGCGGAATTTATTACCTGTTTCCCAACACGAGTAGACAGCCGCCGTTTACGGAAAATAGCGCCTGACGATGCTGAGGTCTAAGTCAAGGCTTTTAAGAACCTTTAGGGCTAAAATTCGGTATTTAAATATCCAGATGTCGCTCAGTCATCCGGTAATGAGCTGCAAGCCCGCGCGCTCGTGCCAGTTTCATCCAGGGGCACGGCGAAGCCATTTTCAACGGGCCAAAGTAAATATTGCCACTCTCTAATCTGCTCCATTCAAACGATTTATTCTCCAGATGTTTCACTTTGCTCTGAAGTTCAGCTGCCCGGTACATCGATGTCTGCTGCTTTGAAGTGAAAAATAGGGTGGAAAGAGGGATCAAAGGTAAAGTTGCGAGAGGCTACACGTCTCAATTTTGCTTTTTTTCCCCCCACATGAAGTGGCCACCGGCACCTTCGCGCCAATTAGATCATGTACTGTATGTAAAATAATTAGCTAATGTATGCATAGCCTACTATGAATTTGTCATTGAACGAACTGTTTTTGAATAAATTTCGCAAAATTAATATTTAAATGTTTTATTAGGCCTATTATTAGCAACAATAGTTATAGCCTATAAGAAATGACCAAATGTACCGTCGGGGTCATTCATTTATTTAGCCTATTTATTTATTATTTTTTATTTTTTTGGTGTGGTTTAATGTGATTAAAGTGATTTAGTTTCCCTTTACACCACTTATGACAGGTCAAATAAAGCTAGAACTATAAAAATGTGTATTATTGTCTATTTGTTCAGTTAAAAATATACGCTACATGGAAAAATAGAGGCTATACTTTATGGTAATGCGGTCTTCACTTATTTATAAAACAATCAAGGTGTGTTACAGTGATTTCACTTCCTTTTACACCATTTGTGTTAAGTAAAATCAAGACTTATATAGCAACAATAATGCATTTTTAATAAGTGAATCAATATGCAGTCTAAAGAACAATCTTATTAATGAAAATTATGGTCTAGTTTTATATTGTGTTAGAAATCTTTACATTTATCATTAAAAATCAAGTCCACTAAAATTTCTCCAAAGTAACAGACACAGCAATACACTCCAGTGTGTTCTATATTCAAGCCGACACTTCAGCTCAGATTTCTGGGTGCAACAGTTCAAAGACAAGGCAACTAATCCAGATCATTTTAAACACACACCCACCAATCTAGCTTGGGTTACATTATTATTCGGTGACAATAGAGTTGTTCAGCTTAGAATAATGGAGCACAGATGCATCCCACATCAGAGTCGGTGTCTCCTAATATTCCTCTCAACCCAATCAGACAGAGCTCACCATCATCTTCCATTCGAGCACACCTCAGCCAGGACAAGTGCCAGAAGCACGAAACTACTTCCACATGTTTGCCGACGCAGGATAAACACACAGACAAAACCACTTTGGAGCGCTCATTTGCATTCATTAAAACACGATGGGATGTGGAATGCAATTTCACGACCACTGCCTGGGCACACAGCCTTCCTAAATGAAATGTCTCTGATTTCAAACAAATCCCTACTTGTTACCAACCTCGTATACTACATTAAAGACATCACAGTGTTTTTGCACCCACCCTAATGTGTATGAGAATGTGGGCTAGCACTGTAGCGCTTTGTCAAAGGGATTACATAACATGCCGAAATGATTTACCTCCCCTTTTGGGAGAACCTGGGAAGAACTTTCAGAAAGTATGATGCTAATGCCAGCTAAATTTTGGCATGTTTTTGTGTCTAAACTGTTTGGAAGATTTTTTTTGATGATTCTCATTTAAGTAGCATGTCAAGAGAGCATGTACGCTAACCACTCTGCCGCAGCTTTGACGTAGCTCTTTTATTAAAGCCCAAAACTTGCATGTATTTTGATTAGCTTTTGGCTTGGTTAGGAATACACCAAACACACATTAAAAAGGGGGAATGTCTTATTAAAAGGCCACAGACTGTTATTTACATGAATAGATTAATTGTCTGAGCATGCCTGTTGGACACAGTGCAGACTTTATGAGGTGACTTGAGAAGTCCTAAAAAGAGTAATGATATTACACTTTAAATTGTGGGGTAAAACCCCTGGCAGTAAGACAGGTACAAAATAATCACGGAATTGCTGAACCAAGTTTAAATTACCCTCTTGTGTGAAAGCCATCTCCCAAAATAAAATTGGCACGAGTGCTTTGTTATGGGAGGGCAGGGTGTCAGTCTATGTTAGGAAGACACTGATATATAGTTGTGTATTTTTAGATGTTGTTAACTTATAGTTTCCACTTCAAAGTACATTATTACACACCTGATCCTAATAATGCCCTGTTACTGGGTGTGGATATTACAATGTTCCAGTGAGGTCACGGGCATGCAGTCCTTCTTTCTTGGAATAAATCAACTAGGTTATTGCTTATTATAAATTAGTGGCCTCGTATGTGTTATAAAGGTTTATTGCTCAAGTAAAAAAAATAATAATAAAAAATAATGGATTTATACCAGCAGCACTGCTAAGATGTTTAGGCCTTATACAATTTTTTGCTCTGAGGAACAGGGAAGGTTGGTTGGGTTCAGGATTGAGATGTGTGGAGGTTCGTCTTGGGGGGAAAGTGGGTTATGGCCAGGGCCAGACGGAATCTGCGGACGTTTTTTGCTACTTCTGCGGAGAATTTTGGTAAAAATCTGCAGATTTCTGCGGAATTATTTTGGGAGTATCCAGCGGAGTATCATAACTAAAACCTTAATATATTAAATAAAAAACAATAAATTACTGAATAAAAACTGAATAAATTCAGATTTACACATTTACTCAAGTAAATAAACAGAATTAATAATGAGCTAAAAATCTGCAGAATTCTGCGGAAAATCTGTGGAAAATCTGCGGAATTCTGCGCGCGCAGATTCCGTGTGGGCCTAGTTATGGCCCCAAACCTTCCCTATGAGCCCTATCAAGCCTTTGGATATGCACACTGTTCCTGGATTTTTGACCATTCAAGAACCTAGTTTAAGCCACCATCTTTTTAAGCAGATGATAAATGCACATGCCCAATTATATTTTATGGATATCTTCTTTGGTGTACTTTGGTGTGAATTGTAAATACCTTTTGAATAATATAAATCAGCACAGACAAATTAGGTAAATCTTATAGCCATGAATACTAGGGTTTGTTAGTCATGAGTTTACACATGCAGATATGCATGCCTTTCTTAAAAAATTCTGTCGTTAATGGAAAAGATGGGCTGTAGTTTTCCAAAACTTTTAGGAGTAAAAATCTAAATTGTACATTTGCATTGATGAACAACGGAAGAAAATTTGCCAAAACTGTAAAGCAATGTCAAGAAATTTAGGAGTACGCTTAATACAATTTAAAATTTTGAATAATTTTACTCAGTGTTTTCAGGCTTGGGTTGAAGGACTTTGCTGAATGCTGGAGAAATTAGAGCGAAGAAGGATGCAAGCCCTGTGGTCCTGTTCTAAAATACAGGAATTCTGGGTTAAAGTGCACAATTACATTCAGAATGTTTCTGGGTTCTGCTTTTCGTTTTGTCCTAAAATATATGTTCTGAGAGACCCGTTTGTGTTGGGGTCTGTTTTGAAGATGTCTGAGTGGATTCCAAAGTAATATGATTGGAAGACAAATCATTATGAGGGGTGGCATTCAGCAGGTTCACCATCATTTCAAGAATGGGTTACGGAAATGGGGAAGGTGGCAGCATATAGAAAAAATGACATATAGATTACTTGATAAATTAGATTTATCAGAGAAAATGGGGAAATAATTTGGCATTTCTGGAGGATGAATAAGGTCACTGTGGTGAAACGTAAGGTTAAAATGTAATTATCTTATTTGATTTATTTAAGTATTATTATTATTGTATTTTTATTTAACTATTAATATTTTCTGTATGTGTGCTTTTGATTTATTGAGTTTATAATATTTATCTGTATTTATGATAGCAACATCTAATTACTAACTGCTGCTTTTGGGAAGGGGAGAGGAAAGAGGGTGTTAAAAGGACGTAAAAATGTGTAAATTGATGGTACTGTTAAATTATATAAAAAAAAATTTAATTATAAAAAAATTCTGTCATCATGTCATCAACCCATTTAATTTTCTTTCTTCTGTTAAACACAAAAGGAGACATCTTGAAAAATATTGGTTGCTGGGAATCCATTGAACTAGTAATTTCTTTTCCTACTATGAAAATCGATTCGTGCCAGCATCCAGCATTCTTCAAAATATGTACTTTTGTGTTGAACCGCATAAAAAAACTGATAAAGGTCTAAAAAAAAGAGAAAAAAGTTATGACGTAATTTTAATTTGTGGGTAACCTATCATTTTAATGATCATTTTTGTCGAACTCTCCAGTTTAAACTTTAAGGAAATGATACAATTTAAAAATAATACAATTAGTAACAATAAAAATTTGCAACATCTGTATACAGTATGTTTACTTTCTAGCGATACAGACATTCATTAGTTTTTCTTCGGCTTAGTCCCTTATTTATCAGGGGTCACGCCAGTGGAATGAAGCGTCAACTATTCCAGCAAATGCACTTCCAGCCGCAACCCCGTACTGGAAAACACCCATACACTCTCTCATTCACACACTATGGCCAATTTAGTTTACCCAATTCACCTATAGCGCATGTCTTTAGATGGTGTGGAAAACCGGAGCACCCAGAAGAAACCCACGTGAACAGGGAAAAACATACAAACTCCATACCAACTGGCCCAGCCGGGACTCAAACCAGCGACCTTCTTGCTGTGAGGCGACAGTGCTAACCACTGAGCCACCATACCCCTGCGATAAAGACAAATTATGAAAAAGCATTGACTCCATGTGTAAATCTTCATCCAATGTTTTCAAAATATATTATGGATTTATTAAGGTATTCATAGATGACTAAACATTATGTGTTTCACCTATAACAATTGTGGTAAGTCAGAAGCAGGAAGCAAAGTCTGACATATAATAATCAGAACACTAAAGAAAAGTGACACTCGCCTCAATCTCAGCGGGCCACTCAGGATAAGTGTATAGCAGAAATAATGATATTCTCATATTCTGTGATCTGTACTTTGGGAATGGCAAGCGCTCTTTCAGGTGAACCTGCAAGGTAAATCAGCATAGCATTTGAGAGGAATATGATCCCAGTAATTGTGACTTGGAGGAAGTCCTGCACAGCTGCTGACTGACATGTCTGCCGCAGATAAGCGCTTCAGTGTGTGAGCATCGAGTAATTCCAGTAACAGTCCAATGTCAAGACACTGTGCTGTTTCTACTTGAGGATGTTAGGCTTGGCTAAGACACGTCACCTTTGAGGGAAAATATATATGAATGGCATTGGTGGATGTATCTCTTGGGTTAAAATTTCCTTATCACAGTACATTATGGCCTGTTTCCACATGAGTGGTATGGTATGGTAAGGTTCGGTTTGGTATGCTTTTATGGCTTTTTCACTATCCAAAGGTACCTAAAAGCGAACCGTACCGTACCACTTTTTGGGTATCCTTTGCAATGGGTACCTAGCCTGGCAAAAGGGTACCAAAAGGCAGAGCAAGACGCGCAACTGAACCATATTGGTTTAAAGAGATACGTCACTTACTTGTGTAACAAGCCCGAATGAAAACATAGCAACCAGCATGTTTTAAATACACCGCCAAGACCTTACACGGTAATAATATATACATAAAATAAAGAGCCATGGTCGACCCTAACTCAAACAAACCTTGTCGTCGTCTTGATGAACAGCCACAAGAAGAGCGAATTTCTTCAGCGACAGCCAATAGAAGCATCAGTACAGCTCATGTGATTCTCAGTGGCCGGTTGTATTCTGGCTGTATATACATACACAGACCTGCATTCTACACAGAAGCAGTTCGCCATTCAGAGCTACAGGCAGTTACAAAGTCGCTGCTAGTCTGAATGAGACATAAAGCGCATAATGCGCGTCTATATTTGAAATTTAAATACAACAAACGTGAGACTGATGCGAAAAAACAAAGAAATGCCAGAAAAAACAAAGGAGTAAATGATTCTTTCAGCAACCTAAAACATGAACAAACTACCATGTTTAACTACTATCATCACCTTTTGAACTACTATGAACTCGGAATGATGAAGTTGCTCTCTAATAGAGGTTTCATGTGCTGCTGAAGATTAAAGACACATATGAGAGGTTTGCACTGAATGGGGGCTATATGTTGCATGTTGTTTTTTTAACCTAAATAAGGACTAAATGTATACTATGTGTAGTTTTTCTGTAATTCGTAACATATTGGAGACTGTAAAGGTCTGTATGTGTTCATGTTGCATTTATTGTAATCGCAGATGTTACAGTAGACTATTTCGCATCATTGATCTGCAGTTATAATCAAGTCATGTTCATAGAAAGGTTAGTAATGAACATTTATGCACAATTATTTGTGTATAAAGCATCTGTTTTGTGAGAAGTGCTTCTCATATGATATGTGAACTACCTGTACAGCTTTACTGTAGACATTTTCTCGAGTAAGAAATCCGTTGATTGAAACTTTCTGTCGTACACCACGCCCACCAAAAGGGTACCATTGGTACACTTTTAGCAGTGGAAACGCAAGCCTCATAAAGGTGACCCGTACCGTACCACTCAGTGGAAACAGGCCATTATTAACATGTTCTGAAAAGTGGTTCAGGGATTAACCTTCAGAACGAAGCACTGTCCGCAAAAAGCACCATCCATCTGGGATGTGGGAGTGCATCTTATGGTAATGTCTCATCTAGAAAGCACGAGAAACCATGTGCTTGTTCCCTTTATTCTATCTTCTCCTTTGGGGCATGGCTAGTAAGTGTCTCCAGATTAATTTGAAAAGGGATGTAGAGGATACGGCCATCTTCCATATGTGAATAGCATCTCATATTGTGACCAGACAAAGCAGAAAGAGATACAGTGCAGAAATGAATCAAATATGTCCTCCACAGGGCAATCATCAGAGCAGACTAAAGTCCAAATCAGTCGGCAATGGATGCTGAGCAGATAAAAGTAGGCCACTTGGACTCTGGTGGCACCAATGCACAAAAAAAGTAATTTAATATGAAATGTCTTTTGCACACATTCCATTCACCGCAAAGCCAAGTAGGATTTTCCGATCGCATTCACAGACATGTCTGCAACCGAAGAAACGTGCAAGGAATAAGTTCTTCTGATCTATTACATTGCAAATTATATTGCACTGTAATAGATCAAACAAAATTTGAGTCCAGATTTTTAAGACCGAGTTTAGCTAGTCCCTAAGGAGGGCAGTGTTTCTTGCAGATCTAGTTGCAGCCAATGTTCCTTTGGTAGCACCTTTGCTGAGCACGCTATAATAACGTTTGAATTCCCTCAGGACCCATCTGGGACAGCTCACGTCTTCGGAGGTTAAACCAAACAGACAGAAACAGAAAGCTGGCTTACAACACCCTCGTGGAACCACAGACCACAGGTAGTTATGGATATATTAACATGCTCTCTTTAAGCAATCAACTAATTTGTGGTGTCCTAGTCGATCCAAACCACACTATGGATCTCTGTGATGCTAAAAAAGTGATGTAATGATTTCTAGAGTCATCCGTCTTCATTAAATGTGAGCCCTAATGATGAAGGCTTATAGCCACTGCAATGCTGAAACAATAAGACATTGACTCATTGAGGTGTAAATGAGTTTACACATGTTCTTAATTGGAGCAAGTTGTCTCTCAGACAATTCAGACAGCTCTCATTGCTTTGAATTACGTCATCCGATTCATACCTCCCATGGGACAGCTCAACATAACGCAACATGCACTTTTGCGAGACACGGGTTGTATTCTTTTCATATGATGAAAAAAGCTGGATTGATTTTTTTTTTTTTTTTTTGGAGTAAACCAAGCAGAAATCTGACGCAATCTGGAAAGTCTCGTTCTTCGCCTCTTTGGGTCACAGCAAGAGGATACTGTCCTTGTAAAATGTCTTACTCTGATCTTTGTTTTGTGTAACCCAGGCGTGACAGAGTGGACATCCTGGTTCAATATTGATCATCCAGGAGGAAACGGTGACTATGAGAGGTTAGAAGCCATTCGCTTTTACTATCGAGAAAGAGTCTGCTCACGACCTGTAGCGATGGAGGCCCGTACCACAGACTGGGTTGCAGCTGCAGATACAGGGGAGGTGGTCCATTCCAGTCTGGAGAAGGGCTTCTGGTGCATCAATAAGGAGCAGCCGTTTGGCCGCAGCTGCTCCAACTACCATGTGCGATTCCAGTGTCCACCAGGTACAATTAGTCAACAGACAATCTATCATGGTAGAGAAGAGTATTCCATATGGAGTTATATGCAGTTTAACATATGAGTGTACAAAAGTCTTCTGTTTTTTTTTTTAAGTGCACTCATACTGGACTGACTGGAGTGAATGGACGCCTTGCAGTGCCACTGCCTGTAATGATGTTGGCATCCAAGTCCGTCAGAGGAAATGCATGAGCACGCAACCTCTTCCATTGCTGCTTTCGCCCGTCTGTGTGGGACCTCACATTGAAAGGAGAGAGTGTTCAACACCACCATGTCAAGGTAAACAAGGAAAGAATATAAACTTTTTAAGCTGGTTCAATCTTTTCTCCCAATTTGACCAGGCTGGCAATAAGATGGTTTAACTTACCAATTAGTGGGTTCCAAGTAGGCTAGGGCATATCCAGATTTTGATACCGTCAAACATCCTCCCTATTTTACCTCGGTATACAGTATTACCGTAGGCCTACACAATACAAAAAAATTCTGATGTAAGGCTCAGATATTATCAACAAACTGTTGGCTTTTGCCTAAACCATTCAGAAACTGAATACCGAACACTGACCTTAGGTTTAAGGTTTTTTTTTATCTCTCGTGGTCACCTCTTTTTTTTTGCACAATTAGCCTCGTCTGTATTTACCGCCACTCCTTTCTTGTTTGGTTGAAATCCGAAATACTGTCAAACTGCAGAAGTTGTGTTCTTTTTTGAGACCAGGTCACTTGATGTGCCATCTTTCCCCATCTTTTTCGGTCTCCTCCACGCCGCATTGACAACTATACGCATTTTTAGGCATTAAATAAATTATATTTATTATTTAATTCTTGTCTCCTATATAAGTGCATTGCTTTTTATGATGGTATAGCGGTACTGAAACTGATATCGAAATATTACTAACTGCTATTTTTAGATCCCACGGTATACCATATTACCGTTTTACCACCCAAGCCTAGTTCCAATACGGGCTAGGCTGATAAACGATATTATATCGAATCACGATAAACTTTGTGTCAATAACAATGATAAGCTCTGGACTTTTTTATTCTATACTGATGCAAGAGCCAATCACATAGCAGAAATGTGCAACAATGGGAATATAAAAGTGTGTTGATATTAGAGATGTACCAAATTTTCGGCCAAAAATATTATGCCATTTAATGGACCCTCTAATTTTTGTGGCTTCAGTCATTCTTGGGAACTCTTTTTAATCTGGAAGCATTAACAACGTATATTGAAATGTATATTGTTATAGCTCAATATGGAAAATAATAATCAAGTGTGCATGTTTGCAATATCGCCCAGCCCTAGTTACAAGTACACACCACTTCCAAAACCATCTTGCGCTGGTTTTAATTTTTTTTAGCAGGATGAAGCCAGAACAGACAGCCTTGAGTTGTTACAAGCACACTGGATGCTTTTCAAACCAGATATGTCCAAATATTTGTTTTTGTCACATTTCAGAATCACTTCAATTGTATTGACTCTTTACCCCACTGGTTTCCACTTAGGATCCTCAAGTGTGATCACATCCTGCTGACATTTACATGACACATGTGGTGCCCAATTAGCTGGCTAAACCCAAACATGTTTCTGTGTCTAGAGCTTGGTTGTCTTTTATCTGAAAATCAATGCAACCACACTGGCGGGGATGTCAGAATGTAGTCTGACATTTCTGTACACACAAATCTATAGATGTACACTCACCAGACACTTTATTAGGTACACCTTACTAGTACTTGGTTGGACCCCCTTTTGCCTTTAGAACTGCCTTAATCCTTTGTGGCGTAGCTTTAATTAAGATACTGGAAAAATTCCTGAGATTTTGGTCCATATTGACATGATAGCATCTCAAAGTTGCTGCAGATTTATTGGCTAAACGTCCATGATGTGAATCTCCCGTTCCACCACATCCCAAAGGTGCTCCATTGGATTGAGATCTGGTGACTGTGGAGGCCATTTGAGTACAGTGAACTCATTGAAATGTAAAGAAACCAGTCTGAGATGATTTGCGCTCTATGACATGGTGTGTTATCCTGCTGGAAATAGCCATCAGAAGATGAGTACACTGAGGTCATAAAGGGATGGACATGATCAGCAAAAACACTTAGGAAGGCTCTGGCATTGACACGATACTCAATTGGTACTAATGGGCCTAAAATGTGCAGAGAAAACAGGAACCAGTCTGGCCATTCTCTTCTGACCTGTGGCATGAATAAGGTATTTGTGCATACAGATTTGCTGCTCACTGGATATTTTCTCTTTTTGTACCATTCTCTGTAAACCCTAGAGATGGTTGTGCATGAAAATCCCAGTAGATTAGAAGTTTCTGAAATACTCAGAGCAGCCCATCTGGCACCAACAACCATGCCACATACTGATACTCGGTTTGAACTGCTGCAGATCGTCTTGACCACGTGTACATGCCTAAATGCATTTAGTTGCTGCTAATTAAAAATTTGCATTGACAAACAGATGGACAGTACCTTATAAAGTGGCCAGTGAGTGTATATAAAAGTATGTTATGTATGAGTGTATTTTAGTATGACATTTGCATAAATTTGATCAGGCTTTTTTTCTAGCATCTACTGTAATTTACACCATAAACCTGATATATTAAAGAGGTGCAAATTTTACTAACACAACAATAGTTAACTGCTCCTATTTTCACTGAAATCTTGACTTAATAGCCATGTGGAGCCAGTGGGGTTCATGGGGAGCTTGCTCAGTAACCTGTGGAAAGGGACGGAGGACAAGACGTAGGACATGCCACAGATCTTCTACTAAGATTCAGTGTACAGGACGACCCATAGAGGTGCAAAAGTGTGGAAATCCATGCCCAGGTGAGGTGTATTAAAACAAATATGTTTTGTCAACCTACAATAGTTCTCTTGACTACATAGAAATCAAAAATTATTTTACAGTGAAATGCAAACGTGTCTGTCCTGGGGGACGTCCCGATAAGAGCTGCAGCTACTGTATCTGCGATGGACAGGCACTACATGGGGAAGTCTTCAGCATTACAGGGGTCCCAGTGATGAATGCCACGGTGGCTTTGGCCAGCCAAGCCAAGATTATCCGTGCCCACACTGATGCCAAGGGTCAGTTCAAGATGGATGGGCTGTGCATCAGTCCTCAGACCCAAATTGTCATTAGAAAGGATAAATTTGCACCTGCCACTCTCCCAGTGTCCAACAACAGTACTGATGAACTTTGGGTACGGGCTATCTTGCAATCATCAGGTAAAAAGGACAATTTTAAAAAGTTGAATAATTTCATGTACATTTGAACAAAGCTCACTATGTGATGGATTGTGCTGTTTTATGTCTGACAGAAAAGCCATATATTGAGAAGCATCCTGAAGACAAAGTACGTTACGAGGGACAACGTGCAACTCTTTGCTGTAGAGCAACAGGATCACCAAAACCTGACAAATATTACTGGTAAAAACAATGAATTTGACAGTTTTTTGACAAATAGTGGTAATGTCCTAGTAATTATCATTTGTTTATTGCAAAGGTACCACAATGGAACCTTACTGAATCGTACAATTTTCAAATATGACGAAGATTTGATATTGCGAGACCTCAAACCAGAGCAGTCTGGGCAATATCACTGCAAAGCAACTAGTCTGACAGGCAGCATCAAGTCTACTTCAGCGGTCCTCACTGTTTTCAGTAAGTGCAAAACCATTTTAACAGTCAAGAGGGATTTGCCATTATACTATTTTTGCAAATGTCCCTAAAGTACTCTATTAAATATTGAAGGCTTCGATTAAATATTAAAGCCTATAATGTCAAGTGACATGTGGTGAACAATATTTTATTATGTTTAAGTTGGTAGAAATTACCACTTTCTAAACAAGGAATGACTGGCAAAAAGTTGTGGTGGGCAGAATAAAGTTCCTAAATCCCAACCGCTTTTTATATTAAAGTGAAATCCAAGCTTGTCGATAAATCCTATTTTTTCATTCTCGGACAAGTATGCATTTCCACATTCGCCGACATAACTACACATTGTAAAAATTCCCATGATGCTTATTATCCAAGATATAGATTGTCAGAAATAGTCTGCCGAAATGTGTGCTAAAGCAATCAGCCCTATACTTTGTCTGAGGGAACTCTCTGCTTTTGAATCATTTTGGCATATATAATGTACTTTGCTGAATGAAACACTAACACCTGTCACAACAGGATTCTTAATGGGGGATGATTAATGTGCTTTATGCACGCTTACATTTAAACAACAGCTACAGGGAAAATTGTTTTCCATAAATTTAATTTTTGAAAACCCAAATAAGATTACATGGTTGCTCTCTAGAATAACTGTCATTTGAAAGAAAAACAGCACTCTTGTGAATAAATGAGCAGCATTTAGATTTGAGGGGTAATGTGACAATAATAACTGCAGTCATCAATATGGTGACACAATAAAAGAGTTTTTGAGAAAGCAACCATGACTTTTGTCAGGCTTCCAAGATCAGTGACCTAATATTTGTTCATAATAAAGCATTGTTCATAGTTTGTTCATAGTTCATCAAGTTCTATGTAACAACTTTGGCTAATAAAGGTCAACTAATGACCTTTAACAGCCAAAAAAAAAAAAAAAAAAACATATATATATATATATATATATATATATATATATATATATATATATATATATATATATATATATATATATATATATATATATATATATATATATATATATATATATATATATATATATTGCTTTAAATAATTTTACTGGGAACTATTAAGAAGTTTTATGCATTAAAAGAAAACAAGCCAGTGGGATAAGATCTCATACTGATTTGACATTTTGTATTTTACAGCTAAAGGGACCCCAGCATGCAAGTCAACACCTGAAACCCACCTGATCAAACTACCATTAGACTGCAAACAGCCTGGAACAGACTCCAAATTTTACAATGCAGGTCGCTGTCCACACAACAAATGTCCTGGGGCACTGGACTTTGACATGCGATGCAGGGATGGAACAGGTTTCTGCTGTGGGGTCAAAGAAATGGACGCAAAAGAAATCAACTGTGGCCGCTACACCCTCCCTATCAAGGTTGTGAGTGAATGTGGCTGCCAAACTTGTGTAGAGCCTAAAGTTCTTGTACGGGGCAGGGTGGTGGCAACAGACAATGATGAACCTCTGCGCTTTGGACACATTTACATTGGGAAGGAACGAATAGGTACTACAGGATATCAGGGTGGCTTCACAATCCAGGTGTCTCCAGAAACACAGCGTTTAGTGGTAAACTTTGTGGACCCTTCTCAGAAGTTCATTGACACAATCAAGGTTTTTATCTTTGACAAGAGAGGAGGTGCAGTCTACCATGACGTCAAAGTGATGAGGAAGCAGGAACCTATTGATATCAATGCTGCAGAAAGCAACACCATTTACCTAGGTGAAATGAAGGATGAGGATCCCATCGGTCAACTGGTCATACCTCCAAACTCTTTCCATAAAAACACAGGGGAAGTGTATGAAGGGACTGTTAAGGCCAGTGTGACATTCCTTGATCCACGCAATATTACAATGGCTGCTGCCGCCCCTGGTGATCTTAACTTTGTCGATGATGAAGGAGACATGCTCCCTCTCAGGACATATGGAATGTTTTCAGTAGATTTCCGAGATGGAGAAAACCAGGAGGTTCTAGGAGCTGGTGCAGTGCAAGTTCTCCTTGATACAGAGCATGTCAAAATGCAGGAGCACATCCCTGCTATGAAACTCTGGTCCCTCAATCCTGACACAGGTATTTGGGAGGAGGAGAGTAACTTTCAGCCAACACAAAGTACCATTGCTGGCACTGGGAGAAACAAACGAGAGGAACGCACATTCTTAATAGGAAATATGGAAATCAGGGAGCGTAGGTTGTTCAATCTTGATGTACCTGAAAATCGCCGCTGCTATGTCAAGGTTAGGGCATACATGAGTGACAAGTTCTTGCCCAACGAGCAACTCGAAGGAGTTGTAATAAACTTGATTAACCTGGAACCTAAACCTGGTTACTCGTCAAATCCGCGAGCCTGGGGTCGCTTTGATAGCGTGATAACAGGACCAAACGGTGCTTGTCTTCCAGCTTTCTGTGATGCTCAGAGGGCTGATGCTTACACAGCTTATGTAACGGCTATAATGGGAGGAGAGGAACTAGAAGCAGCTCCCTCAATGCCAAAAATGAACCCAAACATTATTGGTGTGTCTCAGCCATATTTAGGGAAGTTAGATTACCAGCGTTCAGATCATGAGGACTCAGCACTCAAAAAAACAGCCTTCCGAATAAACCTGGCCAAACCAAACCCTAACAATTTTGATGAAACAAATGGACCCATCTATCCTTTCCAGAGTTTAATTGCATGTGAAAATGCACCTGTTGATGCCAACCACTTTCGTTTTTTCCGTGTTGAAAAAGATAAATATGAATACAATGTGGTACCCTTTCAGGAAAGTGACCTTACATCTTGGACTGGAGACTACCTTTCCTGGTGGCCAAATCCACAAGAGTTCAGAGCTTGCTTCATTAAAGTTAAGATTCATGGAGCTACAGAAATTATGGTAAGGTCAAGAAATCTTGGTGGGACTCATCCTCAAACAAGAGGTCAGTTGTATGGTATTAGAGACATTCGCAGTACTCGAGACTTACACCATCCCAACACCTCTGCTGCTTGTCTTGAATTTAAGTGCAGCGGGATGCTCTTTGATCAAGGTAGTGTAGACAGGTCACTCATTTCTGTGATCCCACAGGCCAACTGCCGTCGTATAGGCATTAACAGTCTCCTGCAAGAGTATCTGATAAAGCATCCCCCTGTTCTTCAGAATAATGAGTCACATGCATTCAATATGTTAGCACCCGTTGATCCCCTTGGACACAATTATGGAATATACACCGTCACGGACCAGAACCCACGCGTTGCCAAAGAGATCGCCATTGGCCGCTGCTTTGATGGAACTTCAGATGGTTTTTCCAGGGAGATGAAGTCAGATTCTGGAGTGGCACTGACGTTCAGCTGCCCTAAAAGAACTGTGAATCGCGAGAGCTTATTCCAACGCTTGCAAACAAATCCAGGCCTAACACTAACACAGATGGCACGGGAGATGAGGGAGTCCCAGGGATTACAAGTCAGAAGAGGGTCAACTCAAATGGTGGCCTACCCCTTTGGCCAACAGGGCAGGAGCCAGAACCGCAGAGCCACGAACACTAACAGAAGGAGACCTGCTTCAAGGACACAACCAAGACAGTAGATCTTTAGGTGAGTTCATTGAGTGCACTTTAAAATAAAAAGATGAACAAAAACAAGATTTTTATGAAAATAAAGTGTATGCTTTCTTTCCTCTTGTAGGTCTTTCGGGTAGAAGAGAATCAAGGAGAAAAAAAAAAAAAAAGAGTAAAAATAAAAAACTGCAATGGAAATCCCAAACTTGGCCAGTCGGGTGATACTGGATGCTCTGTACTAACAGAACAATATCCGTACCTGATTTTTCCGAACACATTTAACACATTCATTCTAGTTGTGTATGGAAAACTGTCCTCTCATACGTCCTCAAAGTTTACCTCATTGTTTAAGACTTTTTTTTGTTTTGTTTTTGTAACTTGGCCAAATTCTCCAAAACATACAAGATGATGCCATTTATTTCCAATGTCAAACTTGCTTATGTTGAGCATCCTACGTTTAGAATCCTTTTCTTTAATTGATTAGTGTCATCCATTGATGATATGCTAAATAGCCGAGATTAGTTTGTACGGGTTGAGTGTGACAGCTGCTAATCCTTTTATCAACTATCTGGGATGAACAAGACCCAAGGCTGAAATAATGCTTATTCTGTCTCACCTCCTTTTCCACATCACCAGTCCAGTTATGATTGGTCTGACCAAACTCTGACTGACCCAAACCATGAATAACATGCCACAGCACAATGGATCACCAAGCTAGACTAAACAAACCTGTGGTGGGACATAAAGAATAATTTAATCGCCAAGTTCAAGCATAAATTAATGCAGCATAAGCAATTTTCTCCAAAATGCATTCGTCCCTTTAAATATAAAGTGTTCTTTTGAATTAAAATCCAACTAATGCAGTATGTGTGTATGTCTACATCTTGGTAAACTGATTGTATTCTTTTTTTTACTGTTTCTTGTTTCTGTCTCCTTAAGTGCAATAATGAGTTCTAATAATGACTTGAGTGTCCTGACAAAAAAAAAAAAACATCCTATGTTATGAGCCAATCAACCATAGGTCTGTTTAAAATGTTGGGCTATACCCTCAGTAATTGTATATCTGGAACTCAAATTAGAATCTGTTTTTATCCTAGTCCTAATGAATCTGAGTTTGCTAATCCAAATGCAGTTTCCTTTCCTTTGACCAGCTGACAATGCAACATGAATTTGCAGTTGCAGTATTTTAATTCCACTCAAGGGACAATTACAAAATCCAACAACATTTATTGGATTGTACTAATACACACCTGCATGATGGACATGAAATGGACAACTGTATTTTTAGAGGTACATTTTGCAAGTGGCATTGCAATTGGGATTTTATTATGGTAATTCTGCTTTGATTTGTCTAATCCCTTACTCTTTAAAACGCCTCACTATCCTGTGTTGGTTCAAAGCAAAATGTTAATTGGGTTGAGGGATTACAGTGCATGTTTTAATAGATAATGCGCAAAAGTTAGTCTCTGTACCCAAAGAGCCAGTACATATGTAATAAAATCTAATTCAATCTTCAAAGAAACAACAATACAGTACCTCAAAAACAAAGCTATATTGGTTAATCTGGATTAAAGTGAGATGAGTGGAAGAAAAAATAATCAAATTGAGAATTTTGCACACTGTAGTTTAGTGGTGGAATTGTTTTATAATGCCGTGCAGAGTCTGCAAACAGGCTGACTGTAATGAGATTTTTTTTTTTTAATGAGAAGATTGCAATATGTAAAAAGTATGCTAAACTGTCCCTAAAATTATGTGGAAATAAGAAATCATGTAACTTAAATTCACAAATTTCCTGTTTAAGCTGTAAAACACATTTTTATACACAAAGTGCACACTTACATTTTTTTCCATCCCAGACAATCTTACATTTAAGTGTTGTTGAGTCATACCTTTTTAACTTGAACAGCTTTTGTAATTTTGTAATATATACCTGTTAATGTAACTTTCAGCATTGCTATACTGTACATTTTAATTTTAGAGGCAGGCTGGGGGTGGATTTTGGAATGAATATGGTGCTAAAAAATTAGTTGGCCTCCAGTTAGCTTTTAAAAGAGTGTTTGTCCTCGCTTCAACTGTCTGGCTGGTCTCAGGGAGACTACAACTTTTCCAGGAATATCCTCTGGCAAAATGTGCATTGATAACTTTACCGTTGTCTACACTACAAAGCGCAAGTCGAAAAGTTGCCTGTGCATTCTCGGAAATGTCTCTTCATGCTTGCTTTACATAAAACAAATCCATGCAAATCGTATTGTAACTTATAGTGCATGAAATGTCCTGCCTTGCAACCTCAAAAGCCAGTTTTATGTGTAAATTGTGGAATACCATGTTTGTCATTGTTTAGAATGTAAATAAAGATCTCTTATAAACACATTTTGTTGAAATTTTTATTTAAAAAAAAACTGCAATACAAAAGACGTACACAATGATACAACCATTAGAACATATTTAGCTTTTTATTTCATTTTGTTGTCTACATTGACTGCATAGCTTTAACCACAGATAACCATCTATTCTTGTAGTACACTATATTAATATTAAAATATATTATAATAATATATTAGCCCCCCCTAAATTATTAGCCCCCGTTTATTTTTTTCCTAATTTTCTGTTTAACGGAGAGCAGATTTTTTCAACATTTCTAAACATAATTGTTTTGATAACTCATTTCTTACTTTAACTTTGCAACGATGACAGTACATAATATTTGACTAGATATTTTTCAAGACACTTTTATACAGCTTAAAGTGACATTTAAAGCTTAACTAGGTTAATTAGGTTAACTAGGCAGGTTAGGGTAATTAGGCAAGTTATTGTATAATGATGGTTTGACTATTGAAAAAAAAAAAGGCTTAAAGGGGCTAATAAATTTGACCCTAAAATGATTTTTAAAAAATTAAAAACTGCTTTCATTCTGGCCGAAATAAAACAAATAAGACTTTCTCCAGAAGAAAAAATATTATCAGACATACTGTGAAAATTTCCTTGCTCTGTTAAACACCATTTGAGAAATATTTTAAAAAGAACAAAAAATTTCAACAGTAGGACAATCTCAAAATAAGAAAAGTTATTATTTTGTAGTAAGAATGCACGGGACATTTTTCTTCTTAAGAGAAGTAACCTCAAAAACTAGGATTTTACCTTGAGTCCAATTAATTAACAGGATTCTCAGAACTCACTTGATTCTTTCCCTACAGTGAATGTCATTTCTACCTTATACTCAAGAGTGGCCAGAAGAGTACAATTAAACAGTAACTTTCAACCGTAAACATTTATTATGACCCTTGAGAGAAACATTAACATCTCTGGAGAATTAATGATTATGAATCAACTAATTAAGTTGCTGAAAAACAACATTAAATGAACTGTCTATGACCTTGCTTCCCTGAGTTTACTAAATCTTGCATATGAATGCTGACTTCAGTCTAAAAACTTTCATAATTCAAATAAATAGTAAATGTCAAAACCTGTGTTCACTGTAGTGTAACGTGTAACACAACATTAAAGTATATTTATTCTTTCATTTGTAGCGTATATGTACACAAATTGTCACAAACCTTAACAACTGCCCCAATCGGGAATAATTATTTAACAAAATACTGCTTCATTTTCAAATGTACACTGCAAAAATGAGATCCAAACAGATGGTTTAGTTCAAAAGAACTAAACATTGCAGTAACCAAGAACTTCAGGTCTCCTTGACCTGGCTGAAAGGTTGTAAAGAGAGCTCGCTTTGGTGCTTGACATATACGTTGCCGTCATCCAATTTCACTTCATAAACTCGTTGCTTTAAAAAAAAGAAGGAGAAAAATATTAATTTTTTGATATCGAAATAAAACCAAGCATGTCTGCAATGTATCCGACTCTCTATTTCTGCTTGGACAGCTGTAAAAGCCTTAAGCTAGGAAGAACTTTGATATACGAGCATGGTGGATGTTAACCGGTGCTGGGAATAGTGTCTAATTACTGAACATTTCAGGGTGTTGAGCCCCCCCAGGATGACTGTTGTAATTACAGATTGTTTTACAGTCTTTTTCGTATATTGATTGGAACGAGTTCGCCGTCACGTCCAACAGGCCAATTATTTATATTCGCAGCATGAGAGAACACATTTCATCTGTTTATTAAAAAAGCAGATGTTTGGCTAAATTGAAACGTGCAGAAATGAGGGCAGTTTAATTCTTAGGAACGAGACTTTCCAAATGTCTGTCTGTTTGGCAGCGCCTACTTCTGTACGATTCTGTTGATGTGCAATCCATTACCGTGTGAGATAATGTTTGGTGCCATACTGAGTTAAAGTGATGGCACAACAAATGTGGTTTTAATATGAAAATACAAGTGCTTTTTGGGGACGCTGAATCAATGGCTGAATCGCTGGCTAATTTAACTGCTTCTACTGGCTGACTACAGGCGCTTTAGTGCTGAGTAATGAAATTTGGTTTCTAAATTGATCATTCAGGAGGCACGTATGGGCATATTTCTTATTCAAGAGAAAGTATAACAGTTTTATAAGTATAACACATATTTAGACGTGCTGATCTACTGATGTCTTATGATTTAACTTATAGGATTTAGCAATGTTCAGGATTCAGTACTAACTATTTAGTAGCACTTTTATATAATGTCAGAAAGCACAGAAATACATTTTCATTCAACATTTGCTTTAAAAAAAGGCATTTAGAGAGTCATTGGAAAAAATGTTAAACTGAATATTATACGGTAAAACAGTGGAACTATTGATCCAAAGGGATGAGCTTTAAGTTAATTAGCAGCGATGTAATGTTGGTGGGTGTTGAACACTGGTTTTATATTTCTGTCATCGGAAATAAATGTAGGTCAATAGACATATTAAGTGTATGCTCAAAATTTACACATTCAAATGTGTGAACAAGAATGTTATGTCACTTTCTTTCATAGTGTTTTTGTATGGGCGGTGTTATGACAACACAGTTGAAAGTTTGGACAATGTTAACAGAAACTATGAAGAAATGACAATATGTTAACACATTATTATTTTAACCATCCACTTGTTAAGTGTGTCCTAGCCGCACCCCTATAGTTGAATTAAAAAATAAGACATTATATATATATATATATATATATATATATATATATATATATATATATATATATATATATATATATATATATATCCATGTCTAATAGCTGATGGCCAGTAAGAATCTATTATAAATTAAAAAAATTTTAATATTTGGGATGCAGTATGTGAAGAGACTGATGTGTACACCATAATTTTATTTAAAAGTCATTTTAATGTGTGTTATGATGACTAAGAAGTGGCCATAAACTAATATAAACCCGAAAATAGTATTTCATATGTCACGACTTAACAAGCGGATATTAAACCTTAAATAAAACACAAAGTGTATACTTTAATGTTTACTACCAGGTCTGACTCACTGAAATCGTGAGCTGTTTAGTGAAACAGTTAATTTTGCTTAAGTACACAAGGAAATGTTTTCTGCTATAGCCTTTTACATTATTGATCAAATATTGTTGCTGTGCTTATGTTGCTCTGAATATGGTATATTTCTTTAAATGCTAAACAAAAGTGTTTCACCTGTAAGCCTGTGCTTGATTTCCCTGTTTTGAGATTGAAGTCATAGTCATGCCAAGGACAAAAAACCTGAAGAACTCCATCGGCCTCCTCAATATCTCCATCACAAAGTGGACCTCCTGAAAATCAAATTATTATCCTTAATTTCAAAATTCTTTAACATTAACATGTAAGCAGAATGCTTACAAATTTACTTTAAGAGTATCAAAACATAAAAAGCATGTTTTACATTTAAAACCTATTATAACACTTGTTGAAAATAACACACTGTATAATTTGCACTGCAAATCAACCGACATTCAACTGAAACTACATTTAAACTACGGTTACCATGGAGATTCAATGAAAGGGCGCGTATGGAACTGGATAAAACACCTCATAACAGACCAAACAAGCATATTTACCATTTCTGTCATTGTGTTAGCTCGTTAGGCTAGCTAAAGTAGCCTTTTTATCCTTTAGGAAAGCATTACGAACAGACATAAGCGAATATAACAGGTTTCATTGTCATACCCGAATGAGCGCATCGAGCGTCCATCGCGAAGAAGTCGCCGCTGACATAAAACAGACAAACATCCGCGTCGCGTCCGTCAGATGAATACAACAATCGGCATTGTTTCTTGGACAGCTCCGACACGGGGCCTATTAGCCACCAGGAAACACTCTCATCTTCTGGAGCAGTCATAGAGGTGGGTTAAACCGGGTCATTAACCTGCTGTTTTCCTTGTTTTATATAAACGCGATCAGTTTCTGCTCACTGACGGTCGCTGACGATTTCACAGGGTCGTCGCTTCCTGGAGGCTGTACTGCACTTTGTCGCCGAAGGGTGTCTCTATACTTGGTTAGCAAGATTGTGATAATAATGGCCATTTCATAATGTGGACTTTTTTTCAAATATTGATAATCCGTTTTTATTTTAAACGTTTTAGCTAAACAATTTTGAATGCAAACGTAATTAAAACAAGGTGCTTACAGAGTTCTGGATGTACTCAAAATATTGGGAAGGTAGGCTAATTAAAACAAGCAAACCCTGACTAGTTTATTGCAATAACCATAACTCAAAATCAAAGACTTAAGCTCTCTGTGATTACAGCGACAAACACAAAAGAAAAATAACAGATGGAGAAGGTTCATAATGTTCAAGCCATTTCACTAAACTATTTGTCTGTGATATCCACCTCTGTATTATGCAATCAGCTAGGCTATTTTCAGTCAACTATGTGTCATTCTTTTATGTTTGTATTATTCATAATCAGCATATCCTATTAAGTTAGATTAGTTCCATAAGCACTTCAGCCAAGCACCAGACTAGCAGCCCACATTATGCATCATTTTAGATCACAGTGCAACTTTGTTCTTTTTTCATTAATGCTGATAATGTGCAGATTGTTAGCAATTATGCTTGCATTTACGTTAATGCAAGTTGCTTTTTGGATGCGATATGACTGAACATCTGGTCACGAGTTATGGAAAAAGGGAAGGTCAGTGTCCAAAAAATCTCACACTGACTCCCTGAACTAGTGTTTAATAATGAGCTTTTGAATGAACAAGCCTAAATGAGATAACCATTCTGAAACCATGCTAAGACAGCATCACACAGCACAGCATGAGTATTAAATGAGGTCTAACAGACTCTCTGGTCAAAAACATCCAAGACAAACACTCAAAGTCTATTTATCATGAACTTTTTACATTCCTATTCTCCTCTAATGAAGAATTTTCCTAGCTCACTTGACCCACATTGTAATTGGTATACTATATTTATATCTACTTATATATATATATATATATATATATATATATATATATATATATATATATATATATATATATAAAGTGTAATGGAGGCCAGCTAGTAATTGCTGTGCAAGTAAACCTCACTCCTCTGACCTCTAAAAGTGCTCTAGCAACAGACGCTAGAGGCCATGGTCTTTAGCCTCCTTGGTAGAGCAACTGACTCCCATGCGGAAGGTCACTGGTTAGATACCAGCTCGGAGCTGGATGGGTGGTGTAGGACCAGCAGGGTTATATATAAAATATAAATTGTATTTATTTATTAATTTTCTTTTCGGCTTAGTCCCTTTATTAATCTGGGCTCGCCACAGCGGAATAAACCCCAACTTATCCAGCATATGTTTTATGCAGCAAATGTCCCTCCAGCCGCAATCCATCATTGGGAAACATCCATACACAGTCATTTACACACATGCACTACAGACAATTTAGCTTACACAATTCACCTCTACCGCATGTCTTTTGGGGGAAACCGGAGCACCCGAAGGAAACCCATGCCAAGACGGGGAGAACATGCAAACTTCACACAGAAACCAGCGACCTTCTTGCTGTGAGGCAATTGTGCTACCAAATGCACCACCATGCAGCCCTCTAAATTATATATTACATGTAAATGTTTGTAAGTAGTTTTGAAACTAAATACTGCAGTATGACTGTCCCTCAACATAAACTAAAGAAACCTACTAATAATTAACAGAATTAATAAATATAAATATTTTTGAAAGGTAAGTAATAAGGTAAGTTTACTGGACTAAATGTTAGACAATAAATTTTTTTTACTGCTAACATTTCATTAATATATTTAGCAAATAACAGCACTCGTACTGACTCTTCATCTTTCACCTTTTTGTATTAATCCACCCACATACAGCGACAAGCAGAGGACACTCTACAGTTAGACAAATATTGCTACTGTTGGGCAACATAATGTAAATTAGAGGCTTTTTTAGTCGAGAATGTAGTTGTTTAGATTGCAACTGTGCAGTTTAATTAAAGGATAGTGCCTATTTTAAATATTTATAATTTCGAAATAAGACATCGGCGGCCATTAGCCCATCATTGAGCAAAGACGGTTGACATCGTCCATTCACAAGATGGTGACAGAGACCTCATAATAAGCCCTTAGAGGAGAAAAACAGCGTAATTCGATTGATACAATTCATTAATAACCTGGTAAGTGAATTTCTAAGTCGATCTCTCTCTTTTGCATGTTCTAGTGCTGTATTTATTTCATAGTAATATTGTGATCTCCCGATTGAAACAGAAATACTAGGAAATCTCTGTAGACTGATGGCATTTTATGCTGTTTAGCCTTAAAATCTTAAAATGTGAACAAAATCATCTGTTTTGTCCGTACTTTAGATATTACGCTAGATAATCATTCAAACATTAGCTCTAAAGTAATGTTGGTGAAGTAGCATCGGTTTCTGCTGTTCTGATGTCAGCTGCAAATGTGAATGAATGGCAGAAAAAAGTAGTTACTCATACAAAAGGAGTCTCTCCGTGTTTTGATTTTCTTTTTTATATACACGATTATTCCGTCGAACTGTTGTATAAATGCAATATCACACTCGTAACAGTGCGATATGGCTGTATATTGTCACTTATGGGGCACGCCTCCCACCATTTTTACTTACATTAAGTTTATTCAACATTAAAATTCTACAATTGTCACTTATGGGGTACGCCTCCCACCATTTTTACTTACATTAAGTTTATTCAACATTAAAATTCTACAAGCTTACAATTGACTTGATCTTGTCATCAATTATTATGCATAGTAGAAAAGTCCCTTTCTAATATATTTTTCTAAAGTCAATACAGGTATTCTTGTATTATAGACCAATAAATTAAGTTTAAAAAATGCTTGATAATCCAGAACAAACTTTATTTAAATATGGATTTTAAAGAATTAAGGTTTTAGTTTTAGTAGTGCAACAGAACAGAGTTTAAATGCCAATGCTGAAAACAAAACAGCACATCAATTTCCATTCACCAGCTATTGCGAACACTCAAAACTATGCAGTTTAAAAGAGGACTGTTCTAATTGGGTTTTGTACATTTATTTGTTGCCTAGAATTTCCATTGTTTGAAACAAACCAGACAAGAGACTTGCACCAGCCTTCTGGCACGCAAGCAGACTCAGTACGAGTTTCCATGCTTGGTAGAGTTTCACGCTGTGACTCATTCTCTTGCCCGCACCACTTCAAGAAGCGAACTCAAATCACCATAATTCGGTGTGAGAGAATTTTTTTGGCATGGTGTGCTAAATATTCCCCATATAATGTTTAGTTACACAGGGAGCTGTGTCTTAAAATACAGCTTTGCACAGGCTCAAAATGTGACTGCAACATGACGTCATTTGTCAAACGAGTGTTCCGAGCACAGCTTACTGTCACTCCTAATACATCAGACATCAACCTGTTGGCCTCCATTTAAACAAAAACAAGTTCAAACTCATTCAAAATGACATCATCCTTAGTAAAGGTCGGATCTGAATATGCACATAACTTGTAATACTTCCCACACTCACTTTTTAAAAGTCAACATTCTAAGGTCTGTGTTTATTAATACTTCCCCCACTTAAATTTGAAATTTGTAGACAATTATTTTAACTTCCATATATATATATATATTTATATATATATATATATATATATATATATCAGAATAGCTTTCTTTTTTATTACCCCCCCCCCCCCCCTTTAAAATGGTTTTCAAAAAATTAAAAACTGCTTTTATTCTATCCAAAATAAAACAAATAAGACTTTCTCTAGATAACAAACTATTATCAGACAAACTGTGAAAAATCCCTCGCTCTGTTAAACATCATTTGGAAAAATATATTAAAAAAATATATATATTAAAAAAAACAATTTAAAGGGGGGCCAATAATTCTGACTTCAACTCTAGACGGACGGACAGACAGACAGACAGATAGATAGCATTTAAATTAAATACAAACTCCCCATGCAGTTTCTTTAACTGCTGACACTGGAAACACCATGTCAGCTCTGTTTCTCTTTTTTTAAAAGTTCACCCTCGCATGCATTGTTAAAATTATGATGTGTTATGAGGACTGTGATTATGATGTCATTGAATTGACATCAACCCAAGGCACAAGTCTGGCATTTGCACATGAGCACTGAGTTTTTGAAGATGGTTTACAGCTAATGATATAGCAAAGCAAAAAATGCCAGACAGACAAAATGACATTTGCACAAAAAACTTATGAGTAACTAGCTGCAGACAAGATGGCCATATTGGAAAAATACATCCCCAGAGAGACTGTATGGCAGCTTAAAATAATAATTTGCCCCCAAAAAGAAAATTCTGTCAAATAGTGTGCAGAGCAGAGTATTTTAATAAAGTTTGAGAGATTTCTATTCCTCCATTCAAAGTCTGTTCTTCCAAAGCTCTAAAGGTCTTACAGAAAAAGTTATGAATTACTGATAATAAAATCATCTAAATATAATTTGATATATTCACAAAATATTTCCTAAATAATAAACTGAGGGTGTTCTTGGAACTAGTCCTAGCAAAAGAAAAGTTAACTGATTCTTCAAAATGTGCCACGTGACAAGTGTCACTAGCAAATGAGCAGGCATAAATTTCTGTGACCACAGTTAATTGTTGTAAACATTTTACTTAATTACTATTTATGTTTAAATAAAAGGCTAAACTAAATCTGTTCATCTTATAAAGACTTTCTCCTTATCTGAATAATTGTATTAAACTGCCTCGTATTAATACTTTGATCTCTTTAACATTTTGAAGCATCAGAGTTTCAGACTTTCAATTAAAGGACAGAAACCTCTCATATTTGATTAAAAATGTATTTAATTGTTTTCAGAATAATAATACAGTATTTATGGATTATAAATGGTGGAAAACGAATGACAGAATTTTTATTTTGGGTATCTATTCCCTCAAGAGTCATACAATCCTGTAGCTTTATGCAGACACTGTGATCTC